TTTATTTCTTATTGAAACGTTGCTTTTATGTAAAGTTTGAAATTTACTTATATTAAACATGATAAATTTCAAACTTTACAGAAAAGCAATGTTTCAAGAAGAAATAAAAGCAACTTTTCAGATGTACGTTTGATTTTGGTCTATCAGATATAATAATTTTTATTTAATAATATATTATATTTATAAATCTATGTTAAGAGCTCCACTTAACTTCCGAAATTACTTATTGACTTATTTATAAATTTGATATAAAATTAATTATTAAAATACTATATACTTAAGAGTAAATTTGAGTTAATCTTAATATAATAATATAATTTATATACAATAAATATTATTACATTATTTCTAAAATAATTACGAGAACATATTTTTCTAACTGTAATTTAGAATTTAATAAAATTTTGATATTAGATAAAGGAATATGATAATTATAATTGGAATCGTAATGGCAGCCGTTTTAATAATTTATTTTTTAAATGATAATTAAATTATTTAAAATATGTGTTTATATAATATTTATTTTGATACAAAATGTAATTATTTCAAAACAATTAAAGCATTAATATACAGTGTGATTTAAATATTTGAAACTGTAATTCGTAATTCATAGTGTTTAAATTATATTTAAATTTTATAATTAAGTTTAATTGGTTGATCAGCGTAATCTGGTTTTTAATTTTTAAATTATTTAGACAATTTTTATTTAATTTATTATATAAAATACAAATTATAATAAGAAATAAATAGAATTATAAAATAAAAGTTTAAAAAACTTATAACCCAGGTCCCACATGAACAATAATAATTTGACACAATTTACGCCACGCTGCAATAGCCTCATCCGTAAGATCATCAGGGTGTATTTTCTCTTTTAACACCTCAATTAGTACCTCGCTAAAATCGTCAAACATGTCAATTTTGACATCCTCCTTTTTGTGTTTGCGAATGATCTTGTCCACTTGTTTGTCGTACATTTTCTTATTCGTATCGATGAAGTTGATCACCTTGGTGAATGACTTCACATGCATTTTGGTTAGCTTATCCATGTCCTTTTCTGGAAACCATTTCACGTATTTTGGATATTTTTCGACTAATCTGTAACATTTTTAAATACTTTTATTTTACCATTATTAAAGTGTATACAAATATTTTATTAAAATTAAATGCTTTAATAGTTATAATAAACTAACTAAATTAATTTTTAAATTATTATATATTTTTAATTATGTAATAAGAGGTAAATGCAAATTTAAAAAATAAAATTTGTGTGAAAATTGTACCAGTTATATTATTATTTATAATATTGCATATTAAGTGATATTATTTTGAATTTTATTACAGTTTTAATTAAAGTCAATAAGCTTATTATAAATTCAAAAACAATGAGTAGCTATTATAATAATGTTTAAATATTATTTAGATATCATTAAAACGAGAATTAGTGTCAAGGATATGTTGTTCATTGTACTAGTGATATAAAATAAAATATAGACTATTAAATGTTCAAATATATTATCTATAAGAAAAATAAGTATAAGTAAAAGTATTTTTAACATTTAGCAAATATTATATAAAATATCTCCCAGATTGTTTTCGTAAAGCGTGTAAAAATTTTTGTAACTAAACTATAAAATAATACAAATTAAAAAGTCATACTAATTATGCATTTAAAAATAATTTACTGTGTAAATTACAATTACAAAAAGTTATAGTTGAATGTTAAGTTTATATTATTTTTAAATGTAAAACTTAATTTATCACAATTAACATACTTTCTAAAGGTAAGTAAATTAGCATATTAATAATATACACAATTAACATACACTGTATGCATAGCATTAACATTAGCCTAATTTTATATTTAAAATATTAGCTTATTTAACTTAACTTTAGAAAATAATATAAAATATAAGCTACCTTTCCAATATTGCCCGTCCATTATCCGGCTCCTCCTTAAACAATTCCCACGTATTTTTCAATAAATCTCGTTCGTTATCTGTTAAATTCATCATGATACATTAAATTGTTTAATATATTACAAAGTATATTTAAATAAGATGCACGTTTTTCTAGTAAAATAATGTGCTAATCACACACACAGTACTAGTATTAAATATGATTCAAAAAATAATGGTGCATGTGCACTAGCGTTTGGTACTTATTGTCTAATATAACAGAGCATAGGTATGCAGTGCACTGCACTGACAGTACTGATAGTACGGTGCAATATAAAATACTACATTCACTGGTATTATGCAATTTTAGTAATATCTTATCAATCATATAAGTGAACTCTACATTTAGGACCTTTTGATATATAGTACATAGGGGATATTAAAGTAGGCGGTATGTAGTAAAAGGTCTAATTTTCGCAATTAGTTAAAATATTAATAAATACCGTATATGCGATTCTCTCTCTCTCTCTCTCTCTCTCTCTCTCTCACTCTCTCACTCACACACTCACAAATAAAAATTATGCAATATATTACCATAATTATGAATGAACGAATGACTAATGAAATTAATAATGAATTAATTGTGCATATTCAACTAAAGCTAGTGTACTATCTAAAATCCTCAGTTCCACCTATGTAACAACTTTAGGACAAATAGCGTCAGTTTAAACTTATTATCTAATTGTAATTTAATTAAAACATAAAATTTTATCATTTCATGACAACCGCAATTAAATATAATACATTTTGGGATCGTAACAATTTTTATATTATGATAATTATTGAATGGGGGGAGGTGGAAGGGTAAAAATAATACATGTGTATACAATGTAATGTGAATAAAATTGCATTATATGAGTCACAACATGCAATACCCTGCTAACTCAAATTTAATGTAAATCTGTATATTTATCTAGTTCCAAGCTCAATATTAGGGAAAATATAATTAATAAAATATTTATAAATCAAAATTTATCAGGATGATAAGCGATTGCATGGAGTTATAAAAAAATATGTGTTATTTAAATGATTGCCAATTAAGAGAATTAATTGCAGTTTTCTATATTAACAAATGAAAAATAATATTGTTTTATATAATATTTTGTTAAAAATTAATATTTTTATTAGGTTAGCTTAAAATTTTGTTAGTTTAATTATAAATTTTTAACCTAGCTGTTTTGTATTTATTAAATTTTTAACTTAATAAATAAATTGTTTAAATAAAAACGGGTTTCAAAATACTCAAAGATTCTTAACTGTTACAAATAACTTATTTAAATATTTTTTTGTTCATTAATAAATTTATAATGCTAAATTTTTATTCAAATTTAAAAAGTGTACTGAATAATTCATTGATATGTTTATTTAAACAAATAATGAATAAAATAAATTTTGATTTTTCTAATACAAGTCTCACTTGCTAATATAATTACTAATTATTATATTAATTTTTGTATTTATTTATTCCTGGTATAATAATTTTAATTTATGATAAATGTGTGTGACAATTAAATGTTGACTCGACTCCTGATAATAGCCCGACCACTGGCCGAGTAGTTATCCGTATCGTAGGTTAATCGACGGCACCGACCGTTAGTGCACTGACTATTATGCCCGCATTCCGTGCCCTCCAATGCGCCCCACGTTTGCACCACAAAGAAATCGTCCCTACATTTCAATGTCTGACAAATACTCTGCAATTTAAATAACATTAACAATACTTTTAAAACCTAAATCAATCTAAATTATATGATCTAGATCAATTTTTAAATTTTCAATTACAGTGCGTTGGCTGTGTTTATAACTGAATTTAGGGCCAAAAGCCATTTGGCACTGTTTATCGGCTGAGATGTATAGTCCGGGTCTTTTATATAAGTCACTGTCCGTAACCGTCAAGTCCTGGGACATGGGTTTAGTCTTATTAGCTAAACACTCGATCCCGATTTCACCCCTATTCATAAAAACTACTGTTAATTTAATAATATTCTAGGTGGAAATTATAAATTATTAATTTTCAAAGTAACTTTAAATTCATTTAGCCTTAATGTTATTACCCAATGAAAAATATATTTTCATCAAGGATACATGTTTTTATTTAATATAGCTCACAGTCCTCATTTTAAAATGTTATTTATAAATTTATTAAATACTCACTAATTCAAACAAAATTATAATAATTCAAGCAATGCTTTGTTTAAAATATTATACAAAATGCTTGTATAATATACAGTACGTAAACATAACATATTGTAATAAAAATATATATTGATTTTAATTTTAAAACTATAATTAGTTTTATAATATTTAAGTCATAACTTTATATAAAATTTTAATCAAAATCGCAAACCTTTGCTCTAATGAACCTAAAAATCGGCGAAAACCTTTGATACTACAGTCGGACCACATATTTTGCTCGATTTCTATCTCCGGGGCCATTATATACTTATCCGATGGACAGTCAGTTGTATTAAAATTTATATCCCCGTCGTGATTGGCACCCATACTGCACGCATTGGCCAGGGATGTCATGTCATAATAGGTTAGCTCATAATATACTCAACAAAAATATACATTTTTAGCGAAATTTTATTACTTGTGTCCGAACTCGTGGGACAGTATCCGCAGTGATTTGTACCCATCCCTGGCCTCTATTAGTATACACGACGAGTCACCACATGTCTGTCCCACGTAGGCAAAGCCCTTCACTTTAGTATCATATTTACCATTTTTCAACCACCATAGGGTCGATCTATTTTTCAAATTATACCTTGCGCATTTATGTTATTAAGGGAATGGTGTTAATATACAATACATACCCAGTAAACATGATATTCACATCAGCCTTACTACCGGTGCCCCTATTGTTAGCATACGTACAGAATTGGTGCAAATATTCGCTGACATCCCATTGGATAGTGTTGTAAAAATGGGTCACTTGGAAGTGGACAATGACCAGGTTGATGTTGATATTTTGGAGCATCTTGGGCGTTTTTAACTGTCGCTCTAAATGAGCGACATTTATGACCACAAACTGTTTGGTTGCACTCAAGTCACCATTGAATTTGTGTCGGAATAGTATCTGATCGACAAATACGGCGATTTTGATTCTGGCATTACCAAGGTATAAGTTGGCATCTTTCACGTATGGGTTATCCGAGTCATCATTGGCTGTCCGAAACATTATGTCTTTATGAGCTGTATTTGTAAGTAAAATGCTTTTTATTTAATGTTACGCTAAAGGGAGTAATTTTTATAATTTTAAATCTGTGTTTTTAAAAATATATTATAGGGTCACAACAAATCATTTCCAGTTATTAGTTAAAGTAACTATTTTGTAGACTAATAATGAATTTAATAAATATATTTACAGTTTTTGTATAAGGGTGTTAGTCTAGGTTAGGTTAGTATTACTAACTTACAAGTTAGTAATATTGTAATATCATAAGTACTGAATGATAAATATATATATCATAAATAAGTAGATCAATATGTTAACATGATATTATATTAATTATTAAAATAGTATTTATAAATAGTAGCCCATAGAAAGGCACAATAATAAGTTTAAATGATAAATTTTTTGAAAATAATAAAATTGTTTAATGTGCCCATTGACGGAGTCCATTAACTTATTATAGAAACTTATAATGTAAATTTTTAAAATCTATTATTTAATTTACTGTTTAAAGTTATCCAGTGCTATTTTATTTGTAAATATATACCACATACAAATATTATTTATAGATTTTTAACTTTATTCATAATAAACTTTTAATAATCAATAACACATTTGTTATAGACATTGTAATAGCATAAGTATGATGGTTATAAATCAATATATTAAACTTATATATAACTTATATATTCAATATTATTTTAAGTAATAAAATTAGTATTTTATAAATAGTTGTCTATTGGGTAGCACATTAAAACTACATGATAAATTTTTTTGAAAATAATAAAATTCTCTCAGGTGCCTGATCCCATTGATTTATTATATAAACTTGATAATGTACATTTTTAAAGTTATTTATTTAATTTACTGTTTGAACCTATTCTGTGCAAATTTATTTTGTAAATATACTTTCAAATGTTAATTTATAAAATTTTAATTTCATTGATAATAAACTATTATAAATTTAATAATCAATAACACATTACCTGTAAAACTATTGCCACAAACAGCCGGTTGTTTGTCCGACCCATCGGTCCGTTGAATCACATGTTTATTACTCGTAGACCTCTTTCCCCTCTTAAAAATCACTGAATTTCTCGTATATATCGGAGTCAATGAGTAGGTCTGTCCACTCATTTCTAATATACCAGTCTATAGTATTTAAAACAAATTTATATCACAAAAACATATTTATTTTAAAACTTTTAAAAATTACAATTTGATTGCTATCGGACAGGGAAATAAGTGCCGTTCCTTTGATGATGGAGTCCATGAGTATGAGTCCGTCGGACAGGGATCTCGTGTCCAATATTTCAATATTATTGATACGATTCACGCGATTAGGTTTGAGAAGTATATGAATCGTGAGATTCAGTGAATCCAGCGTTAGTTCAATGAGTGAAGTGTTTATGAATTTAACACTTATTTTCATTTCATTGTTACCAGTGATGAATGGATTCACAGTTTTAATGATTATAGTAATTGTGATCAAAATTACAAATACATTCATACAACTATTACGAGTATATATTAGAAACATTTTTAGAGATAATTTATTAAAATATATAACTTTTAACAAAGAAAAGTTAATTGCTATAGTTAATATGTAATTAATTTTCAACATTTATAAGACATTTATTATAAAAATAAGTAAATATAGTTAAGGTGACATGAATAGATTGCAACTTTATACATACAGTATCAAATATATTGAAGTTATGGAAATTGAACCCCCTGCAATTTGATTACTATTATGTCTATAAATTTATAAAATGAAAATAATTATATATTAAAATATATTAATAAAATAATTATAAATTTCGTATATTAAAAAATATACTGTATTAATTATCATAAATATAATGCTGTATGTATTATAATTGATAATAAGTGAATTTTACACAGAACTTTGCACACTTTAAATAAATTATTTTGCATTTTAAATTAAGCGCGCTTGCTTCAATATTGACCAGACACGCTTGTGTACAATACAATAACCACCACATGACTTTATGACCTTTTATACACCATACATTACACTGAGACTCATACTCTACTCTATATCAAATAGTCCCAAATCGACTCACGAATTTAGTGCAAAAATAGCGCATTTCATCACAAACGCAATAGCATTGCGTGTGAATGGCATTGAAAAACAGAGTTATGTTATGATTATTACACGTAAACAGTGTTTAGTCACACCATTAGTCACACATAAATCACAATCAAATCAATTCATACAATCATTATAAATAGCTACCAGTGCTCGCAACACACCAGTGCTCACCAGTGGGCACATCCCGGGCCACTCACACAACCATCAAAATGTGTGAACAACCCGTGAATTGGCGTTACATTTACCACAACATGTGTTAACCCGTGTGTGTATTGACGGCGAAAAACCACTTCACGTGCGAAAAGCCTTCCCTATTATATACAGCCATAAGACTCGCGGATCAACTCAAGTGATAGTCAGTCATGTCTTCGCAGCCGAAATCATCGCTCACACCGTCCGCCTCCCAGTCCTCACTGCTATTATCGACGGCCAACCTCTCGTGGACGCCGACTACCGGCGCTCTCATAGTGGCCCCGCCGCTGGAACCGCCACCACAGCCCGCGCTATCGCCCACCCCTTCCGACCAGTCGTCCATTCGCCACGACATGACCCACGAGGAGATCATAC